GGCGGATGGATTTTTGATTCTGTAATATCTCTTTGTTTTTTTTTTTCTTTTTGTTTTTTTTTTCATGGAATTGTTAATTAAGAAACTTTAATTTGAATGAATGAATGATTTTGGATGTGGATAGTTAATAAATTTGGTGGGAATATAATTTGCATTTCTTTTTCATTTTTGTAAATTTCTTTTGGTTTTTGTGTAAGATATATTTGACATTAAGCTTTTATTTATTTATTATTCTTTTAAGGGAAAAATAAATAGAATCGTAGGCTTATATAATTCAACGGTCCGGAAATGGAAATGGAATTTTTGAATTCCGTCAGAATACGTTCCGACTTTCTGTTTTTTCGACTTTTTTTTGGAACAAAATCAGAACTGTATATATAATTTTCAGAAATTCTGATTTCCGATCCAACATTTATAATTTAGAAGTAGGGATAGAAATCGGAAGACATGACTAGAACCAACATTTTTTAGTAAAAGAGAGAAAGAAAATTAAAAGTGAAAAACTAATTCTAACTTCATTTTTGGAATGATATTTTGTATAAAAACCGGTAATAAATGCAATTTTCGGAATTTTCTTTTTTCAAATTGCCGGAATTATTTTCAAAAATTAAATCCGGATCGAAAATCAAAACACGGTATACATGCCAATTACAGTAAAAAAAATTCGGAAAAATCGAAAATCAGAATTATCATTTCTTATTTCAAAAAATCAAATTGTAAATAGTTTCATTTCCAAACAAGCCCAACAATCAATATAGCCCATGTGATATATATTCACCGAGTTGTAAGCCCATCTTAACTCACCGGTCCATTCATTTCAAATAACAAAAACCCTAATCCGAAAAAATCCCAAATTCCCCCAAAACCCTAGAAATCGGCTGTCGTCTTCAACCATGAGACCTCTCGACGAGAACGAAACCACCGCAGTTTTCAACAAACTGCACAAATTCGTCGGCAACAACCTCAAGAACATCGTGTTAGACGCCCAATCGAACGAAGGACCCGATTCCAAACCCGGCCGCTACTGCTTCCGCCTCCAGAAGAACCGGGTCTACTACGTCTCCGAATCCCTAATCAAGCGCGCCACCAACGTCAAGCGCGAGAAGCTCGTCTCGCTCGGCACGCAGATCGGCAAGTTCACCAAGGTCGGTAAATTCCAGCTCACGATCCAAAGCTTGAATCTTCTGGCGGCGAACGCGAAGCACAAGGTGTGGCTGAAGCCCACTTCTGAGATGAGTTTCCTGTACGGCAACAGCGTGCTGAAGGGCGGGCTGGGCAGGATTACGGAGAATATTCAGGTGAACGATGGCGTTGTTGTCTTTTCGATGTCGGATGTGCCGTTGGGATTCGGGGATGCCGCCAAGAGCACCGTCGATTGCCGGAAAATGGACCCGAATGGGATTGTCGTGCATCGACATGCTGATATCGGCGAGTATTTGAGGATGGAGGATGATCTTTAAAGCTTTCGGCTTTTCGGTAATTTTTGCTAGTGAATTTTTGGAAATTTGGGCTGCGATTGATTATGTTATATTTTTTACGTTTTGCGTTGGTGAATGTTGGTTCGATTTTATATTTTCGTTTAATCTATTTTGGCCGGTCGATATTTGATATTGAATGTGTGTTTTTATTGTCTGATGAAAGTGTGTGGTACTGCTGTATACTCGTAATTTTGTTGATTAATGCGAATGGTATTCAAATTTGCCGATTATGTTATTTTGATTGATAAAATGTGAAGTCGTAGTGTTGTGTACTCGATAATCGTCCACAATTAGGAATTAAAGATTCAAAGTCGTAATCTTTATTCCGAATTTCATGCTCTTGAAATTTATATCTGATGAAGTGTCTCTTACTTTTGTTGACGAATGTGAATTTTATTAGGAGCTCCAATGACTCGTTTACTTGCGATTCACGGATCTTTACGATTTCCGTGAAAGGATTTGAATTTTTGGTCATTTCTGTGTAGTAATGTAATTTGCTTGATAAACGTTTAAGTCGTATTTTTGCGGTCTTGATAATTGTGTGAACAATTTTACTCGTTCGGTAAAGTTTTCGAGTGGTGTACCGAATTTCGTGCTCTTGAAATTCAAATCCCCGTTTCTTTACGAGCAGTATGTTTTACGAACTTCTGTTTTACTGCTTATTACAAAAGCTCGACCGAAGAAGCTCTCGTGGTTTTGTTTTGATCGTGTAATAGCACACCCTCTGTTTCGTAAAGTCCGATAAAGGCACGGCATGATGTTATGCTTTTGTGAAATTTACGTATTCGATTTTTAAACTACATTTTGATACAAAATGAAGCACTAATCCCAGTCATTGTCAATCAATTAGGGGATGATTTCAAGAAAATTCTTCCTGTTTTTTTTTCCTCAATGGAATAATTCTCTAAGGCCTTGTTTGGCTGGTATAATTAAGTTCACTTGATTTAATAGTAGAAGTTCAGAACATGTTCCAAATTAAATACTATTGTAATACTAGTAGTCTAGTAGATACTCTTTATCCATTGCGATTAATTTTGTAGGTGGTGATTAAATTAAAAATTAAGATATGATTATTGTTAAATTAATGATTTTAGCACTGGATTAAATGCAAAAAAATCGAACATCTTACTAAATAAATAATTTGGTTAGTGATTAGTGAACGAATTCAATCGAATTTAATGTGAATTAATCCGATATACGTAACCTAACGAGGTCTTATTCTAAAGTTTATCCTTATTCTCATAATTTTTAATAATAAATAAAGAATAGCATAAAAACCTAATTAATGAAAGATATACTTAACAATTCCCCCTTTTGCCACTAATATTCACTTTGTGTTTTGTGGAAAATAAGATAACCTTCTTTTTTCTTTTCTAAAATTGGGGAAGAAAAATTCTAACCAATCACTAAACAAATTCCTTGAAGAAAAATCATCACTTTTTTGCATTCCAATTAGGTTTAGGATTTCATTTTCTTGCTAAAAATAACATTAGAGAATAAATTCCTACGTTGAAAATTAAATTGAATTTTCTTAGAGAAATTCCATTCGATTTGAACTTTTTTTCTAATTAATTATTATGATTATTTATATAAAAATGAGTGAATAATCTGATCTTTGATTTTGACATGTGCATGTGGTTTGCACGTGATACGAACCTGAATACTATTACCATATATAAGTTATGTATGTACTATATATTATGTGATCATTATACATTTTATCTAATTTGAACTTTATTTTATTTTTATTTTTATTTTTTTCTCTTTTACGATGCAAACGGACATAAATACGTATCAACAAGGGAAATAATTGCTATACATAAATAAAAATATTCGGTGCGTGTATCGACACGTATAATAAGATTCGAGATATATCTAACTTTGAATGTATATACAGATCGATACATATAAGGTGGTGGTCCTATATATATTGAAATATATATCATAATTCATAATATTCGGATAAATTGATCGACAAAATCTTTGTATTGACAACGGCTTTGTTTGGTGTTGGTCGGGTTCGTTAGGATCATTGGATCATCGTTTCACGACTGAACTTTCAAACACACACACAAATACGTGTGCGTGTGTCTGTCTGTATATATAAATATAGATACAGAATCAAGAATCCCTTTTTATTTATATATGGTCCAAAAAACTTATCCAATGTTATAAATCACCCCATTCATACACACTTGCTGAATATAAATATTCCATTTTTTTTCTGGATAAATTTCATCAAACTTTATGTATGGCAGTTATTATGGTTCATATATAGTAACTAACATGTTTTTATTTGCAGGAAATTTTATATATATGTATAATGTATATACATCACTAATGGATAAATATGGTACATATGAATATATATATATATATATATATATATATATATATATATATATATATATATATA